ACCGCCTCTAGAAAGTTATGTTCCAGACTATCTGATCCCCTAGACGGTATCCATTGATGCCAGTCTATATTTGTCAGGTTGAAGACTCCCAATATCAGTAAGTCAGATGTTTTAATTACCTCTGTATTGATAAGTAGTGTACATAAATCCAAATTATTTTCATCTACGCTGTTTGAACTCCTGTAGAGGCATCCGATTGTTAATACATTTCCTTTTTCCAGATTAATTTTGATCCACAACGCTCGTCAAACTTATTCTTAATTGGTATTTCCGTTGCTCCTAGATTTTGTGCCGTGTAAATAACGATTCCTCTCAATTCACGATCTTGCTTTATTTCCCCGGGAAAAACCTCGTGGCCTTCTATGCTCAACTCAGACTTGCTTGCTTATCTGGTACCTTGATTTTTTAGGGAAAGCCTCGACTATTCCAATGATATCCAGTTTCTCCTGTCTGATTATAGATTTTAGTTCTTCAATTTTGTTTGTAAGTGTGTCAGCGTTTGTAAACATGCATCGGAGTTTATGTGTATGTTTTATTAAGCCCTTTTCACTGCCAGCCGTACGATCCTCATGTTCCACGGCGGTCCCCGTACGCGGTGTATATATTTCCTCGACTCGTTCCTTTCTCTTGATTTTGCCTCTGCTCTCAGGGCGGTTTCCTCTTTTCGTTCCTTTATGGTAAGATCGTGACTTGTCCGGATGATGCTGTATTTCGCATTGTCTTTAAGTGCAGATATATTTTTGAAGAGAACTTTCTTTTCCCCGGATGATGAAAAAGGAACTAAGATAGGCCTAGATTTGTTCTTAGATTTACCATACTTGCCGAGTCTAATTACTTTGGCGAAGTTGTCCTCATTTTTCATTTTGCATGTCTCGAGCATTTTCTGTATTTCTTTCACGTCTTCAATTTTCCTTGCCTTCCCATCGGCAACAGTTTGCTCCTTTACGCCGAATACAACAATGTTGGATTCCCTAGATTTTCTCTCATTCAGTTCTGAGATAACATCTTGCCGTATATCTTTATCAGTGGTATTGCCCTTGGAGTGCATAGATTTTTTTACCCTCTTCTGTGATTTTGCTGACCTCTTTTCTAATTATTTCCTTTACTTGTTCCTCGTTGCACTTGCTCTGTATCAAATTCTCCAGGGATTTGATGCTATCCTCAAAGACCTCCATGATTTCGGCACATTTTTGCTCGATTTGTATGTCTCTTTAGGATCTTGTCGCGCGGGCCACTGTATCTTTATCTTGTTGTTTGTTTAGGTCGCCATGCTTGCCTGCTGGTTGCGGCATATTGATGTTCAACGTATTTAAACCTTTTCCTGGCTTCAAATCTTTTGAAATTTTAACTGTGAGTCGGTAGTGCCTTTTGGCACGTCTCTGCCAAAAAGAACTGCAATCTGTCCTTGTTTACGGTGTAAATTGGTAATATAAGACTCTTCGCCAGCGGAGCTCGTGACAATCACGTCCGTTGCCATCGGTGACGTCAGCTTATATCAATAACATGATATTTCAATACTGAATTAAAAGTGTTTATCTTTATTGTTTATATACTGTATATTTAAAAACAACGAAACATAAGGATTACCACCAAAGCACAGAAATCATGTGTGGGTCATTCGATATCACAAGCCCAGGGCATTGTCCAAATGCATCTTAGATTAGAGATAGGTCAGCCAATTTCTCCAGCCATTGGTCCAGTCTTTTGTTCACAGTATAGCTTTTTTAATTCAGGCTGAGAAAATCCATTGGCGATTCATATTATAATGCAAGTGTAAATATATTAATATGCAACTGTGTGATAGTGTCATTATCATATTTATTATGTTTTTTGTTGTCTCTCAACTTAAGTCATGTTTTCCATTAACCAACTTATTTTCTGAAATCTGTATTAGAATTTCGATAAAGTTTTCATATCATAAATCTAATTCGTGTCTGCTACAAACTGTCCAGAATTCAGTCATCCTTTCGTCAGCATTACAAGAATTATCTCGACCAAAGATTCAGTGAGGAAAATTTCGACAAGGATAACCGAATGAGAGTAAACAAGGATAACAGAATGACGGCAGACAAGGATAACCGAATGAGGGTAAACAAGGATAACAGAATGACGGCAGACAAGGATAACCGAATGAGGTTAGACAAGGATAACAGAATGACAGCAGACAAGGATAACCGAATGAGGGTAGACAAGGATAACGGAATGACTGCCGACAAGGATAACGGAATGATGGTAGATTTTACATGCCATAAGATTTCCGATGAAGTCGACAGGGTTCTCTGCTTTTGGGTCATAGATTTTAAGAACAAATTAAAATCTCTAAGTTGATAACGGCACGATGCATACTATCGTTATACAACATAGTGTGTTCGCGGTGTTAACGTGTGGCTACCTATAGACGATGATTGTTTATCGGGAAGACATTTGACTCCCTATAGACGATGATTGTTTATCGGGAAGACATTTGACTCCCTATAGACGATGATTGTTTATCGGGAAGACATTTGACTCCCTATAGACGATGATTGTTTATCGGGAAGACATTTGACTCCCTATAGACGATGATTGTTTATCGGGAAGACATTTGACTGCCTATAGACGATGATTGTTTATCGGGAAGACATTTGACTCCCTATAGACGATGATTGTTTATCGGGAAGACATTTGACTCCCTATAGACGATGATTGTTTGTCGGGAAGACATTTGACTCCCTATAGACGATGATTGTTTATCGGGAAGACATTTGACTGCCTGTAGACGATGATTGTTTATCGGGAAGACATTTGACTCCCTATAGACGATGATTGTTTATCGGGAAGACATTTGACTCCCTATAGACGATGATTGTTTATCGGGAAGACATTTGACTCCCTATAGACGATGATTGTTTGTCGGGAAGACATTTGACTCCCTATAGACGATGATTGTTTATCGGAAAGACATTTGACTGCCTATAGACGATGATTGTTTATCGGAAAGACACTTGACTGCCTGCCTATAGACGATGATTGTTTATCGGGAAGACATTTGACTGCCTGTAGACGATGATTGTTTATCGGGAAGATATTTGACTGTCTGTAGACGATGATTGTTTATCGGGAAGACATTTGACAGCCTATAGACGATGATTGTTTATCGGGAAGACATTTGACTGCCTGTAGACGATGATTGTTTATCGGGAAGACATTTGACTGCCTATAGACGATGATTGTTTATCGGGAAGACATTTGACTCCCTATAGACGATGATTGTTTATCCTGAAGACATTTTCTTGTGTTGCACATCATGGTGCGATCCTAAATTATTTATGATTTTCTAGAATTTTATCTCTGGAATTAAGATTGTTTACATTTTCGTAATCAATGTAATGGTCAAATTTAGGATTTGAAACTTTGTTGATTCATCATAATTAATGACATCAGACTAAACAACTTGGTCACCTGTTGCCTTTAAAATACAATCGATAAAAACTTCATCCTTATTTGCACCATATGTTTCATAAGAGTAATTTTAAAACCTTCGATTGTCTATGGCTAGAAAATGTCGATTTTGTTTTCTTCTTTCTATTAAATACTTCGACTTAAAAGAAGTAAATTAACATAGGAACAATGATTAATTTCTTTTAACAATTTTTTTGTACTTGAGTCACGATATCTTCTAAGATAAACATTTTGGTTGGTCGACATCAGACAATAAATAGTTTTAAAAATCAAACACTTTTTTAAACACTCAGTCAAATACATGAGGTATTATTAGGTAGTTAATTAATTAATTACATTTTATGAAACTGACTCAATTTTGGTTCTTTCAATGTATCTTAATCAAGATGGTTTTTTCCGTTCAGAATACGATGCACAGAAAATAATCAAATGCTTTAAGCATCTGTCTTTGATATTGGTAAAAATCGCTTAGTTTGGGACATTAAATTAATACATTTATTCTCAGCTGTTATTGATATTGTTTTATTTTATATATAATGTTCTGCTTAAAAATTTAACAAAAAAATTGACATTTTGATAATATTTTAGCAATAGGTGCCTATAGATAATGAAAAAATAGTGCTGACTTTTTTTACCAATGCTTTTAATTTACTTTATTAGGTTTACACACGGGGTAGATATTTCATTTAAAAGTTTATTCTAAGCAATTATCATAATTTCATAGTGATCATAGTCAGAGGCGAACAAAAACTTTCCTATGAGTTTATTTTTATTCCTTTTTGTGCTACAAAATTTAAGATACCATGCACTATGAAAATTGCAAATTAAAACTAGAGACTGCATAAACGCGTGTCACATACGTCTCTGTCAGTACATGAAATAGGTTAAAAGATAAAGCAACATAGGCCTATTGAATCGTTGCCTGTTTTCCCTTGTATAAAGGGAAACCACTCTTTCATCCTTTTTTCGATATGTCGATTACCCCCCAGGTGCCTCTTAATTCAATTCAAAACGAGGCCACTTACTGTAAATATCGAAACACATTGGACACTGTTTGCCGGATTGCTAGATATTTAAAGGAAAAGTGTCAACGTTAAAGGAAAATGATCAAATTTCTGCATTCGGATAGTAAATAACTCGGGATGTTTCCATGTAACGCAGAATAAGGTGACGTAAATTCAAATAACGCGGGAATTTGTACGTCAGTTTTGACCAGGTGTGCGGTATCGTGTTTAGATACGGAGACAATGTTTGTGTTTATTTTATGTTCAGCTGGGCTATAACTTTTTCTGACAGGATACGGGTGGGAAAGCGATTATTTACTTATAGGTAACGTGTGGAATACCATTTAACTCTTATCGTACTCTTATTAACGAACCTTTTTCACAGAGATTTCGATAATTTGATTATGAGGCCTGATTTGGGCACTTGCCAAAGTTTGTCTATTTTGATTCTGTTTATACCTATAATCAAGAGTGAATAAATGGATAGACAATGATGTTGAGGCGAAAATTTGTTGCTGTTGATGGATAATAATTCCTCCAAAGAAAGATCAAAGGATGCCGATGAAAGTGACCGTCTGTTTTGATCGAGTTCGAGTCATCGTTCCGTGTGGTGATGGACACATCCTGGTCGGGGAATTAATCTCAAAAGCTATTTTACGGTACAAAAAGGCAATAGGAAAGGTAAGTAAAGTACACTTCTTAACACATGGCATCCCATTATATTCATTATACAGCATGTAGTTATAAAGTTTTCTACATAGCTTTACAGGTGACGCATCAATGTATCAAGCAAAATGGCTGACAGACGCTTGTGTGAAATGAAAGGGGTGTCGGATTTCAGGTGTGTTCAGTGATGGGTGTGATGGAATTAACAGATAACAAAAGTGATTCACCATCCTATAAAATGAACGAATGTTAGAAAATTGTTAGTCTTATTATCACTTCATACTTTCAGTGTCGGAATTCTTTCTACCCTGAGGGGACCAAAAAGGGGGTGGGGTCAAGTAATGTCAAAGGCGATTGACCCCACACGCTGTATACTACTTGCATGTTTACACTAAAGTTCAAATGCTATGTACATGAAGCTCCTGTCAATATCACATATGTGCCACTTAGTATTTCTAACCAAGAGAAACACTGACGTGCCATTTCTGTAATGCTGTGCTGTGAACTAGTGTGGTAGTATTAGCTGGTGATTGTCTGCTCAGTGCAGTCTACATGGTTGTCTTCAGGCAGGCCCTAACAACACAATGCTCTAATAATCCATTCAGGATGATTCATTGCTTACCAAGCACCAAAATATTTCCATGTTTTTGCAAAAACAAAAAAAAAAACAAAAAAACAAAAAGTCAAAATCATGCCAGTATATATGTACATTTGTATACAGTGTTATTTTCGGGAACTGGATGCAACTTTCACTTAATTCTGGGCTAACTGAATATCTATCTGATTCATATATACTTGTTCCTTTTACAATCTACCAGGGCCCTGGTTGGATTCATTCCTGCATGTGTTGGAAAATGACTTTCATGCATGACCTGCCACAATCCTATTGCAAATATTGATAGAATACACATGATATAATAGTGTGGTACATCTATATAGTTAATTACTCAATTGCCACAGTGAACATTTATTTAACAGAGACAGAGTAACCAGAAAACAAATTTCATTGATAAATCACAACAACAAAAAATATTAATGCTACAGTACTTATGCATGCTACTTTCCTGTTCTAATCTGTTTGATTGATTCATATATTAGTTATAAATAACACAGTAACTCCTATTTCAGTATTTGATCAATGGATAGATGGATTCATGATTAAAAAAAATCATTATTTGACTGCTCCATTTCAGTTGCGTACGCCATGGGTAGTCCATGTACTTTAATAGTTTGTGTTTTATATACATGCACACCTGCTCTTCCATGGACGCCAGTATTAATTTAATTGTAATTAAGAGAACAAAGGACAGTCTCACTCATGGAACAGTGACCAAAATCAATAAAACTTATTTGTCACCTTGGATTCCGATTCAAATTCCCTGCTAGGAAGTCTGCATTGAAAGCAATTTGCCCCCACCTTGGTTGGGGGTTGAGGAGTTTGTTGAGAATGGTACCTACACTATACATGTATTTTCAGGTTGTGACTGTCTGTTGACTCTATCTCTTACACTATTTGCCATTGGAACTTCATAATTTGGATACATTTTTTTTTCATCGCGGTGAGGTGGCGAGTTGTGTATCAAAAGGAGGTCACTGTGACTTACATTTTGACCTCAATCCTACATTTTGACCTCAATCCTACAAAACCTACATTGAAGAAAAAAGTTATTGATCAGGTTGTAAATATCTCCTATACTGTTAGTCACTGGAACTACATGCTTGTGGCATGGATTCACCTTGTTGAAGTAGTGTGTCATACGTCAAAAGTAGGTAACTTTTGACCTTTGACATACTGTATTAAAGAAAAGGTTGCATAAATATAGAATTTCATGTGGGAGACTATAATTTGCTGAATCGTCATTTCTACGATAATTTCTGATAGTTGCAATACAAGTGTCATACAATATTAAAAGGAAATATAGTATAATATAGAGCAAATCAAACCAAATATCCTTGATACATGTGCATTGATGTCACTTTTCTCATGATTTCTAGAAATAGCGAAAATGTCTCACTATGTGGAACAATTTCATCAGCCTACTTTAAATTTTACTACTATTATATGTGCCTCATAACATAAAGAAATTGATATCATTTTGTAATTCTTGATGTCTGACTAGCAGATGTTTCAGTGCAAGAAAGTACAAGTAAGTGCAATAACAGGAGTTATATGGAAAGAGTGAATTTTCAAGGTCCAATGGTGAATTTTGGATGGCACAGGGGAATACTTGGATGGAAGGGTAAATTTCAAATTAAGTAGCAGTTTTCAAAAGACTGAATTTTGGAGGGATGGGGGGATGTAAGAGGGTAAATAATTCAGCCTTGCTTGAGAAAATTAGTCAAATTTACTCCCACAATGGAATGATCAATGATGAAAAGGGTATGATATATGTCAAACATATATATATTGCAACCTGCAATTAGATTATGAGGATAATCTTTATATAATTGATCCATAACACAGAAACAGTGTACTCTTGGCATAAACAGTACTGTTTGTCACATTTAGGATTAGAGGCAGAAGGAAGGTACATTTAGCTTAATACCTTTTGATTTCTCTGGTACTACAGATGTGTCAAGTGATGACAGGTGAAAAATTGAAAAAGTCTTGAAAATAAAGGCTTGTGGTATACAAATTGGTACATACTCTATAAAAATATATATACATTCTTTTCCTCAATTCTAGCTAGCAGTAAAGTCTAGATCTTTTTTTATCACATTATCATAAATGGAAGGAAAGATTATGGAAATAATGTAATTTGATATTTAGTTCTTGGAGAAATGTATTGATCTGGAATTGGAAATTGATAGCCAATATAACATTCTTTTCCAAATTATTGCTAAAGCTACTAAGGCAAGTCACAAGGGTGTTTTTTAGGTTTTTTTTTTTACATATTACTCTTTAAAGTATTTGTACTGTTTTGTTTAGATACAGACTACTCTCTATTTGATATGTCTATGGTACATATTGTATACATGTACACGCAAACACCTAGTAATATACATGTACATTTATATATGTATTCAGATACTGCATGTCGGCGTGACTGAAATAAGTATTTGCAGATGTTTTCTCAAAACATTTGGCATATTACATGTTACATCTTACATGTATGTAACTCATGATTGGGATCTAGGACAAACATATACATTGGCATTTAGTTTTTTAAGTGTACAAGGAATCTGGATTTCAATTCAGGACATGCAGGTATGAGGAAATTTAAACCCAGACACTGACAAAGATTTATATAAATGCATGTGATTCAAAACATGTAAAGAAGAGTTGTCAATACTCTCACTTATAATGCTATAGCTAGCTGTAGCTTGCTAGCCTGTAAAACTGATGATAAAGTATTGAAGAATTTGGAATGTGTGCATCTGATATCATTATACAATGTCCAATTAAGATGTATGTTCAAGTGATATGATCTTGTTACCATTTTAGCTTGTTAGCTGAAATAATGTGAATATTTATGTACACAGGTCTACCAGTCATTTTGGTAGAATAGTAATTTAGACAAATCCAGAGCACTTTTTTTTCAAAATTTTGTTGAGTCCCAATATTTGAAGTGGATTCTCAAAATTTTGAGGCGTCCTTAAGGAAAAAATGAGTCCAAGACAAATATTTTTTAAGTTCTAAAATCATTGTAGGAGTTGTAGATGTGATACAGAATATTAACACATCAGTCTTATGATATTTTGGTGATGGTGAATTATGAGTGGTGTACTGATGATGTATTAGGAATGTTAGAAATTTGGCGATGGGACAACAAACATGGCCTCTGTCTCAGCAGTCGACATATACACTGTAATAACATGCCATCACCGTGTTCCTGTAGGGGAGTCTTTGATCTACCAGTGATTCCGGATGGGTACACTTGTGTTGGCATCCAGATCCTGGGAAACTTTTTGTGTATACATCTATATATATATCTGACATACATTTTAACAGTATGATTGGAAGCAGACCATATGTAGTTTTTGTTAAAACTAACTGTCTATATCAGAATGCATACTGGTATGTGTTTATCAGGTGAGAGTACATTTTAATGACGCTTTTCTGGATGTAATCATGTACATACTTCAAGAGAGAACTTTTGGCTAGATGTACAGTTGATATTTCAAATGTAATTCTGCTGTTATTGATGTATAGCTATAGGCTGGAAGTGACTGTTATTCAATGAATGAGAGTCTTCAGGTCAGAAGTCATTGTTTATTTGTGTTTATTGCTCACATGTACAGTGTATAATTAAATGGTAACTAGACCTGCACAAGTGAATAATTTCATCTCTTACTGGATTATATTGATTTTTTTGTGATACATGGATTGTGGCTACTGATTCATGGTCACAGGTCACTCATCAATGATGCATCAATTACAGGTAGGTGTTATATAAAATATTTTTTGACTCATCAAAATATAAATAACCTGTAATTTATCGTTAGCACATTGGCTAGCAGTTATCTGGTCAACTATCTGAATATATATTGAAATTGAATCTGTTTGATAAGTGTACATATAATTTACATTGTTACAATAAACAAGACATTAGGTTGGAGTGTTCTCAACATTAAGCAATTTCACACCATAAGTACATATAGCATATTTTATTTCGTGTCGACCAGTTTCGCCAGTTACAGTTCATCAGGGCAAAGTTCAAACCAATATTTCAGCCCCTTCAGGGTTTTCCATAAGAGCCAGTCGCCAGCCAATTTAGCCGCCTACACCAATCCAGTTCCATAATAATGTTCCGTACACGACTACACGTACATGGCAGGCCAGCCTCCTACTTTCACTACACAGCCTACTACTAACAAAATTATGGAAAACCCTGCCCTTAAATACCCAAAATGTGATACCTTTATCATATGATGTTTTATTAATATAGGGGGGTTACCTCTAAATTATTAATATACAGCCAGTATTATAGATTTTATAAGAGAGGAGATTATATCACTTAAAAGGTTAACAGTTCAAAAAAGATATTTTTGTTCATTTAAATAAGTTATGATCA